GTTGTTTTTGCCTTCCGCTTGTTATTCAAATAAAATATTTCCAGGATATGGGTGTGAGTATGAGTGTGGATATAGTTCTTTCTTCTACTCACACCTGATACCCACAGCGAAACCCACCCTTCTTAATTTGTTTTTTATTTCTCTGTATAAGTGATGAAGAAAATATCTCTTTTTTCCAGTAATTTTTCGAATAGAAAAAACCTATGGTGCATAAGTGTCTGCCCAAATATTGACGTCTATTGTATGCGAACAGAAAATGCTGGAAACTTAGTTTTTTTACTCATTGATAGAGCAAAGTATGTACTTTGAAATGCATATTTAAAATAAAATTTAGAATGTTCTTCACAAGAGAGAAATAGCGGACTCCAAACACATTTGGAGTCTCAGAATCCCTGTTAATTGATTCATACGTTTCTCTTTCAAATGTGATTATTAATGGCAAATAGCACGTTGAACTGTGGAAAATCATAGAGATATTTAAACCAAGATTATTGCAGTTTCTCCTAGATGTTCAATCATAGAAAGATCATTTCACTTATTGTTGACATCCAGCATAATGATAAAGCTATATCCATAACACAATAAAGCTCTAAAATCGAAATAACAGGTTGTCTGGAAAGTTCATGCAACTCATGTTTTAGAAAACCATACAATAACAAGTACTACATGAAATGGCTCACCAATGCAGTTTAGATATAGTTGCACGAACTTTCCAAACAACCTGTTATATCTCAACGCACTAGGATAGTCGAAGAAAGAATAAAATAAGAAAAATAATTGCACGATTGCAGATATGACAACTTTATTGAGTTCAAATTCTTTTTTTTTACGGATGTCGAGATAGAAAAAATGTCAAATTATTTTTTAGTAAAATATCTTGAATGTTTTTGCTTAAATGAGGCTAGCGCTCTAGTTCTCTTCATAATCTCACTTTTTGTACTATCTTTCTATGCAATCATCTACCGAATCTCTATTAAGTTATACTCACATAGAATTTTTTAGTGTCATCAAATGATTCACTTGAATTTATTTCTGACTTTGCCAATATAAAATCCATATTTTTTAAAACAGCACAATAATAATACTATTACGAAGTGAACTTTTTTGTCTAATAAACACCTTTTTAAGGCCAAATGTCAAAATATAGATATACTGTTCGAAGAAAATAATTTAAAAAATGTCTGTTAGGCAAATTCCGTCTTCAGAGCCTGCTCTTACAAACAATAAAAACTTCAAATCAATAAGGCCTGCCTCTTCTGAGAATCAGAGTGTGATACCTTTTCTACTTTCTTTGCATAAAGATATTACTTCAAAATTATTTTGTTTATGCACATATTTCTGTGTATGAGACTGTTTTTCTAAATATTTTCTTACTTTTTGTCAGTACTAATGCATCGATAATAACATTAATAACTTTAAAGCCAATAAAAATGCGACTGATGTGGACACGAATAGTACTGACTTTCACATCTTTATCATACCATACATGCATAATTAATTGAGAAACAGTATCATCATTTTTTTTGTTATTATCAAGTGTAGCCCTCTGACCCTGCCGGTCCTAAAGGGACATGTAGCTAGCATATAAAGCGACCATGTTATGAAAAATTAAGCATGCAGAAAATGGTTAAATATAAAAAGATGCAAAGAAAGGCCTGTGAAAAGCTTTCAGGACACTACGAAAGAAAGATATTCTTGTGCATCTAATAGTACCACTGAGTTCTCCATGTCATGCGATGCCCTCCATCTTGTGGCTACTGCAAACACATCCATATGATGTACATAACGTTTTGACCTTCGTAGACAACGGATACTTGAATTACCTTCATGTCATATGACTCCATGTGAGTTTAGGATAGACTTCTCTAATAGCATACACCCGTCCAATGATTTAGATAGTTTTAAGATATTTCTCCCAATAGGAGTAACATCTGTCATCTAGCGAACGTTTATCATAGAGAAATGCGAATAAGAACTCATTCCAGTAATTGCAATGCGTTATTCGTTTAAGACACGTATAGGGTGTGGGTGTGGGTGGGTGGTGTAGGAACGAGTCAAGAAGCTTTACACCCATACACCCACACCCAAACCCTCACCCACACACATCCACACGCACTACACACACCCACCACCCACCACCCACCACCCACCACCCACCACCCACACCTATACCCACGCCCTAGCCACACTGACACCCACATCGTTAGTATTTATTGCAGAAACTCGAATGATATAAGTGTTGTGGAAAATATGTAAAAAAATCATCTTTTTGATGCTTAAAATGTGTTTTGGAGGCCAGTGAGCGTTTACACGCTTATAAAGCCAGCTTCCGAGGTGTTTAAACGTCTGCGAATATTCAACAGAAAAAAACTATACGTTTTCACCAGTGGGATTTTAGAATCCTGAGTGTTTACACGTCCACCTTTTCCTGACGCGTGTAAACGCTTGGAAAAGTCAATTTTACGGTGCGCAGAAGCGTTTTTGGAAAGTTTTGTCTGCTTGGGAACCTAGATATCCTCGAAAACTAGATCTTTATATTCAATTCTTTTCAAATCATTTTCAAGTGTAAATATACGCATACTAAGTATTTAGAATTCTAAATAAAACTGTCGATTAACATGAATTAACAACAAGCATCATTGAAATTATTTGACATGTTTTATCAAATATAATTAGAAATGAAAATATTAGAGCAAATATAATTGAGAAGATAAGAGATATGATAGTCAGAATATGAACTGGAATAAACCATGAATCAATGTCGGGTATTGAAGAATCATTGATAAATATTTTTGCTATTTCATTCATTTTGAGAAAATATAAAAAGACAAATATGCGTTTTGGTAAGTGTAGATGTTTTTGTTTCTATTGAATTACTCATGCACAAGATTTTTAGAGGGTAAAACTAATGTGTGAGCACTATTATAATCGTTTCCGTTTTCTATTTTAAAAATTTCTCACGTTTCTCTTAGAATAATACATCAGAAAGCATAGGTAATTTTTCTTGTTAACGTTTATGCTTGACTAATTGTATTTTATGATCATTTATCCGAGTTATTATCACAAAGAATGAGAGTATTCTTTCATAAATTAATCATTTGAATGAAAAGAAGATTTTATTTTTGAAGAAAAAAGGTTACAACTAACTTTCTATAGTGTTATTTGTTTATTCACAAGATCGATATCAATCTTTGATTAAATTAAAGTGTTTTCGTTTTCCATATTTTATTTTTCGATATAATATTAGAGGGATCAGATAGAATTCGGATTCCATTGTGAGGTGTGGATGTGGGTGTGAGTATCATGGTACCCTAAAGAAGCTTATCCACACCCCCACACACCCCTCACACCCAAACTATACACTCATACCCACACCCCACCCACATCCACCCATCCATCCACACTCCATACAACATCAATATGGGTTTTTCAATAATTACAAGCTTCCTTACATGCACACAAATAGAGAAGAGAATAAAAAAATTTTAATAACAAGAATCATGTTACAATCTTATAAACATGGTGTTGATGACTAACAAACTGAATCTTCTATTTCATGTAGAATATGGAAATCTATGAAACTAAATACACTGGATCAAGGATCTGATAGTCAATGAATCATTTGTGTAACAGGAGGAGGATGACCTATTTGTTCATGTTGAATAGGCGTATGTTTTGGTTGAATACGGTTGCGTTTTTTCAAACGTATGGCTGTTCGTACATTGTATCTGTATGCACGAGATACAATTATATAGACATAGAACGTTCCCGTGTGCATTGTAAAATTAATAGCAGCACTTACAGTTGACCAAAGATTTTCTTGTGCAAGTCTTAATTCAGATTTTATGACCGATTGTGTGGCTTGTGAATATATATTGTATACGAAATTGGGAATTGTGGTTAAAAGTACCATAATAAATTCAGCAAGCATCATTTGATTGACTTGTTCTTGAAAACGATTGCATCTGACAAGTCTCGAAAGTCGGAGATTATTCCATGTGAGTATACTGAACAAAGCCAGAACAACTAAGGAGAGAGCATTCGTAATAGACAAATTAAAATAGGCAATAAACTGTTTATATATAAAGCGCACACTTGCCGATGCTGTACATGAAGGTTCCTTATAATAAATGGCGTCTGGCATACAAATAACTAAATATACTATACTGAATATAATCACAATGACACGAGCTCGCTGTACAGTAAATAAATGACGATAGCGTACATTACGCGAAGTAATAAGAAAACGATCGATACTGGCCAAACATACACATGTCATGGGCATGTTCAGACCCCAACGCCCAAATAACCATCGAAGTTTACAATAGATTGTTGAAATAGCTAATAAATCAATATTAGTTATAGCAAGTATGGACCGAGGAAAACGGGTTGCCCATAATAGAACTAAACTGCCGATGAATGAGCTGACCAAAAATATAGAATTTGGCATTCGACGAAGTTCTTTTAGATAAATAAAGACAAATATATTCAACAAATTACCTATAGTACCCACAATGATGAGAACAAGCATTATATAACCATCAATGATATTTGCGATTGATTGAAGACGAACTATTTCATAGTTGAGTGCAGTATTTGGCATTATCAAAGTTTTTCTAAAATTGGAAAGCCATCATCATTACATTCTTTAAAATACTTACGACGCTAAATAATGAATGCATT